CCCCCGCCCGCTGACAGGGCCGTGCCCCCCCCAGCTGTCAGTGCAACGGCCACGCCGCCACCTGCAGCGCCGACGGCTCGGGCTGCCAGTGCCAAAACAACACCGAGAGCGCGGCCTGCGCCGGGGAGCGGCGGGACTGCTACCGCAACCAGGTTGTGTCCTTGTGTTGTTGTGTGGTTGTGTTGTTGTGTCCTTGTGTTGTTGTGTCCTTGTGTCCTTGTGTGGTTGTGTTGTGTTGTGTGGTTGTGGGACTGCTACCGCAACCAGGTTGTGTCCTTGTGTCCTTGTGTGGTTGTGTCCTTGTGTTGTTGTGTCCTTGTGTCCTTGTGTTGTTCTGCCCTTATGTGGTTGTGTGGTTGTGGGACTGCTACCGCAACCAGGTTGTGTCCTTGTGTCCTTGTGTGGTTGTGTCCTTGTGTGGTTGTGGGACTGCTACCGCAACCAGGTTTTGTCGTTGTGTTGTTGTGTCCTTGTGTCCTTGTGTCCTTGTGTGGTTGTGTTGTGTGGTTGTGTCCTTGTGTCCTTGTGTGGTTGTGTCCTTGTGTCCTTGTGTGGTTGTGTTGTGTTGTGTGGTTGTGGGACTGCTACCACAACCAGGTTGTGTCGTTGTGTTGTTGTGTTGTTGTGTTGTTGTGTCCTTGTGTGGTTGTGTTGTTGTGTGGTTGTGGGACTGCTACCGCAACCAGGTTGTGTTGTTGTGTCGTTGTGTCCTTGTGTCCTTGTGTGGTTGTGTCCTTGTGTGGTTGTGTTGTGTTGTGTGGTTGTGGGACTGCTACCGCAACCAGGTGGGAACCGGGCGTTGTGTGGTTGTGTCATTGTGTCCTTGTGTGGTTGTGTTGTGTGGTTGTGTGGTTGGTTGTGTTGTGTGGTTGTGTCGTGTGGTTGTGTTGTGTCGTGTCGCTGTGTTGTGTTGTTGTGTGGTTGTGTGGTTGGTTGTGTTGTGTGGTTGTGTCGTGTGGTTGTGTTGTGTCGTATCATTGTGTTGTGTTGTTGTGTGGTTGTGTTGTGTCGTGTTGTGTGGTTGCGTGTTTGTGGGACTGCTACTGGAACCAGGTGGGAACCGGGGGGCTGGGGGGAGTTGTGTGGTTGTGTCGTGTTGTGCCGTTGTGTGGTTGGTTGTGTTGTGTTGTTGTGTTGTGTTGTTGTGTTGTGTGGTTGTGTCGTGTTGTGTTGTGTGGTTGTGTCATGTTGTTGTGTTGTGTGGTTGGTTGTGTTGTGTGCTTGTGTTGTTGTGTTGTGTTGTGTGTGGTTGTGTGGTTGTGTTGTGTTGTTGTGTGGTGTGGTTGTGTGCCTGTATTGTTGTGTTGTGTACTTGTG